GTTAAGTATTGGTGGAATCTCTTCCTTAAATTTGGCTAGAGCACTAACAGAAAGGTTTCTGCTGCAAGAGCTTTTGACTAATGCTTTGTAGTCTAGTAACAGTACTTCAAAAGTTACTAAGAAATGGTCAGATAAAGCAGGATTATGCGGTTCGACTAATAGTTGCTCAGAAGAAGAAGAAGTGACGTTAGCGGCTTCATTCGCGTAATCTTCCCTCAGGGAACTTATTCCGATGTGAAAATGATCTGTACTTAGTTCCATGGGGGTACTAAGTGCCGGGCACTAAGTACGGCAAAGTAATTGGTGTGAAAGCGGCTCNCGACGTTAGCGTGACGTATGTGGTGCTTTTGCTCTAGCCGGACAATTTTTGGTGCTTGAAACGAACCGGATTCCGGAGCTAAGAGGCTGCTCCGTTGCGGTGTGAACAGGAAAACCCGGTGCTTTTCAAGCTCCAGCTCCTAACCGGCCCTGAAACACTGTTAGTGTGAATGAGGTATAAGTGCCGGGGCACTAAGTACGGCAAAGTAATTGGTGTGAAAGCGGCTCTTACCTAGTGCTTTTCCCAAGTAATTTTTCAACAAACGTAGTATATTGGTTGAGGATTAACGTAGATGTGAAGCCGGAGTGTTCAAAACGTAAGATCTATATCAGATTGTATCTTTTAGAACTTCTTGGAGTTGTTGTGAGGAGAAAAGGTCAAATTTATAAAATTGAAGCCAGGAATAACATTTCAGATTTTTACTGAAACTGGAGCCAATAGAGAACATGTTCTGTGATTGAAACTTCCGAATAAAAAGAGATATAAAATGTCTGACAGTCAGATGTACAACTCTTCTTTAGTTCTTCTGTTCTCTGTGGGCACTTTCTGTTCCATTCAGTTGTACTTGTTTTGGTTGGTGATGCATTGAGCCGTGTTTGGTTATGCTGAATACTCCGTCAGCAGCCTGCCTGCAGATCACTTCCTGAATGGTTCCTAAAATAGCAGCAACAACGATCACAACCAAGGAAACGCGCCAGCTGCTCTCTTCAAAACCACACTCACTTTCTGCTCACTCCTTAGTCTGGGTTACAAGGATTACCATTAGCTACTTTTAAACACTTTCAGCAATAAATTAATCCAAGTCGTATTTGTAGCAGCAATTCTTCTACGCTTAAAATGATAACAGATATGAATAACAAGTTCCAAAAATGTTATGTCTAGCACAATGTCTTAAATTAATAAAACACAAATTAATCCACAGTTTCCAAAACAAAAATGGAATGAAGAATCATATCAGGAAATGTAATACAGAGGTATATGAAAATGAGAAGGGTCAGCTAAGATAAGTCAACGACTAGTTACACAGATTATCAATAGCATTAGCAAATACTTATAAATACATAGAAGATCAATACCACTCATTTCTGTATGGCTTAATATGAAGCTAGAGCTAGCAATATGAAGCTAGAGCTAGCAAACATGAGCGTTAGCTTAGCCCATAGAGCTGCAACGGGTATTCAATTGATCAATTAGTTAACCAACAAAAATATAATCACCAATTATTTTTGATAATCATTTAAATGATATCAGAAAGTAGCAGTTATTATGGGCATTTTCAAATTTTCTTTGTTTTCTATCATATACATAAATATTGTAAAGATGCTCCGATCGACCGGCCGCCGATCGATCGGAGCATCCCTATAAATAATCACAACTTTCAGCCCTATTAGCTTAGCGTAGACAGTGGATGCATCTAGCTTGGCTCTC